TGGAAGTCGGCGAGCTGGTCGGCGCGGGAGCCGGCCAGCGGGTCGGCGCCGCGGGCCGCGACGCGGTCGGCGCGGGAGACGGTGAACTGGTCGGCGAGGGAGTCGGCCAGCTAGCGAGTCGGAACCCGATCGGCGCGCACCACCCAGCCTGGGAGGACCAATCCTGCCCCCCCCCGCCCACTGCCGGACGCGCGCCGCCCGGCGCTCTCGCCCGACACAGCCATCGACGAAGATGGAGGACGACCGTTTTGGGCAGGATGACAATGCGCCACAAGTCGCGGTGGCTGCCTCTGATCAAGGCAGCTGGTCGCAATCGCGGTGGCTGTTTCTGGTCGTGGTCGTGGTGGCTGCATCTGGTCGCGGTGGCTGTTCGTGGACGCGGTGGCCACATCTGGTCGCGGTGGCCGCCCGTGGTCGCGGCGGCTAGATTTGGTCGGGGTGGCTGTTCGTGGACGTCGCAGCTGCATTAGGCCCTGGCGACCGGTCGCGGTCGCAGCGGCCCCCGGTGGAGCTGCGGTCGGGCCTGGAGCGGGGGCGGGCGTCGCCCGCCCGCCGCCCTCGCAAGCGCAGGGGCATGGGCGGGATTGGTTTGTCATGCCACCGACGATTCCAACTGCCGTCGAAAGCGCGCATTGCGCAACGATGGTTATTTGCGCCCTCTCGGACCCATTGCGCGACGGCCTCGCGCGCGCCTGCGCCCCTCGCCAGGGGGCTTGCGCAGGAAGTGGTCGACGGCGTCGTGGATCCTGTAAGTCTGCACCGCAAGTGAGGCAAGTTCGCCTCGCGTTCGGACGCACGCGTTGCACGACGAGAAGGTGTGGAGATTGGCGCACGAGCGCGGGGATTGGTCGAGCTTGCGTAACAATACCTCCTTCGTGAACGGGCGCCAATGGCGTTCACTCGAATCCCCCGCTGCGCCCCCACATCCCGACAAGCGGCGGTCGACTTGCGAGCGGCGTCTCTGAAACCGGCGGCGCGCGCGCCGGCGAGTCCACAGCCCCGAAAACTGCGGCCCATACTCGCGAGAGAACCAACATGGGAAGCAGTTGGAGTTCGGCCGCCGCCCGGCGCGCCAGCCAGGAATGCGCGTCGCGCCAAACGCTGGCCCCTGCCGGCGGCGGGTGTTTCACGCGGTCGAACTGCCCCCATCGGCGGAACTTGGCCCGGGCGCGGAAGCTAGAGCGAGGCGCGTTGTGCATGAGCAGCAAACCATGGCTCGTCGCTGGAATCTGGTCTCGGGGGGAGTCTCGGGCGTTGCATGGGCGCAGCCGTCGCCCCTCCGAACCGGCCGGTTAGCGCCGGCGCCGGTTGGCGAAGTAGTGGCCTCATCGCAGTCGCCTTCGGCGCCGGGTCGGATTTGCCCATTCGGCGGTTTACAGAGATCCCACGGCGACCCGAACGGGAGTTCGAGTTGTAGCCGAGTGCTCTCCACGGTAGTGCGAAGGCTATGGCATGGCAATCTTCCAAGCGAGCCCGGATGAAAAGCTGCCAGGGTCGTGGGGGTGCTTCTCTGAGATCCCGCGCGCGCCGCGCGCGGTGGCGCGCCCTGCGGGCTGGGCCCCATGCGCGCACCCGTCGTTGCGAGGCCTAGGAGGCTCAGCCCTTCCTTCTCCCTCCAAGCCCAGAATACCAGACGGCACTTGCTCCACTTGTCCAATACACCCCAAAGCACACACTGCAAACGCGTTGCACGCCACCGCACGGGACTGCAGGCCAATGCCCTGGCCCCCCCACTATCCGCACCGTCGGGTGCAATTCTTGTCAGGGCCATCCCAGGGGCGCCCGCCCCTTCCAGACCCCACGGGGAAGCCCAAGTATTTTCCGCACGCGGCTAGCGGCACATTCGACCATCCTGATAGTCGGCGTTCCCGTCTCACCTTGAACTCCCAACGTACCAGTGCCCACAGGGATCGCAATGCATCTGCGCACGTTAAGATACAGGCCTGAAAATGCACCAAGGACATCAAATATGCGCGCCAACCTCGGCGCCTCCAGCCAGTAGACCAAAAACACCAGAGCGGCATCAGCAACACATGCTCTCACTACCGAGTCGGGGCAATCAGCTTCGACGCGAACCACGAGCACCTCCGCCACCGTGGCGCGCAGCAGCGAGGAGAGTGGACACCCCTGTCGCACCCCATATAATGCCTTGAGGAGGTTCATATTCATAGCGCCTTCTGAGAGACCGATCGCGGTCAGCGTGGTGAACATGAACTCCTGAGCTATGGATGGAAAGGCCAATGCAAAGTCCATTAGCAAGCAGGCCACCGTGTCGCGATCGAGCGAAGTGATCACGTTGGCGGCGTCCACACTCAGAAGACTGCTTAAAATGCTTCGCCCTTGTAGGAAGCCCAGTTGCTGGGGAAAACTGAATTAGACAAATAATCCCCCCGTCAGTTGCGGGCAGCGCTTGCAGCCAGGCAACTGTCAGCGTTGACATTGTTCAGCGGGCGGGTGTTGGCCAGAGTGTAGCTTTCAATGCCTTCTGGAGTGATGCCTGTGCTCTTCTCGGCCAAGCAGACAAGAGTACTCTCGTTGAAAGAGGTGCGCGTGGGTATCGGATTCGTCGAAGTAATTAGGCGGCCTCAAGCTCGTCCACTGCGCGAGGTCGCTCGAGGCTCGGCGCCGCTTCGTGAAAGGTAGAAGCTCCCAGTGGCCCCGGCGCGCGCCAAGCCTTGAACGGGATGCCATCTGCCCCCGGCGCCGAAGTGCCGCTGCACCGAACGGCCTTCTCCACGCCTTTCCTCCGCATGCGCCAGTGCCTGGCGTCGGTGGACAGGCGGGGTCGCGTCTGCTTCGCCCTAGCGCGACGTCCGCTCGAGTGTAAGGTCGTTTCCTGACGTGGGTCAGGCTGACGGCGGTTTTGCACGCCCGGCGGGAATGGAGGTCGAGTCCGCGAGCGTACGTCCTGGAGCCACTCTGTCAACGGGTGATGTTTGATGGGCTTATTCTAAGATGTTCGGGCCCAGTTTTCCCGAAATTCCCGTGCAATTGACGCCCGGTCTGTGGCGCACTCTCTGGGGGAACTCTGGATAACTCCAAGGCTGATCCATGTGCCCGGCACGAGTCGCTTCAGTCGGCTGAATATGTTGCGTTTGCGTGTCGTGATTATGTAATCGTTGGTGCCCTCTTCCGTTCATTGTTGCAGATCGCGAAGCTCGCCCGTGATGTCCTGCCTCGCGAATGCGACCGCGTGGTCCTGGAGCGCGCGGAACCCTCCAGCGAAACATGCACTCGGGTCCCTGAGGTTCATGAGCGCGCCAATGCACGGGCACTGCAAGTACTCGAGGTACATTTTGGGCAAGTTGACGTCCTGGGTGGCCCTGATGGAGCTCAGGGCACAGCCGAGCCTGTCGCCAGTGGAGGCGGCGGTGCTCTGACCATGTTTGAGACTGTGCGCATGGCCCGTTTGACAAGTTCTGATATGCGTATTTATAAGTCGGGCCTGTCTCTCTACAGGGGGAATATTCAAGAATTGTCGAAAAATAATACGGGGACGGATTTCTGACTGTTTTGAACATGTTTGGAATAATGTTTTACTATTTGGTTATCCAAAATCCCCCTGCAGGGGGACAGGCCCGACTTAAGCATATTGCATTGTCGAAATCCTTGGGCGAACTGGACGCGCAATCCAATTCAGCCGCCACTCGCCGAGGCCCGTCGGGATGGTTGATGGTGCCAGGGGTGATGCTGAAATGCTTACGCTGAATAATGTTAAGTCGGGCATGTCCCCCTGCAGGAGGAGTATTCAACAAATAAAAAACAAATGGTCTGGGGACGATGTTTTGTATATTTTGTGATGATTTGGAATATATTTTATGTTTCGCCCAAAACCCGCCTGTAGGGGGACATGAACGACCTAAGACTACTGTTGTTGTTGCTGTCGTCGTCAGCCGCGTCATTGTCGTCGGAGCGCGCGGTAGTTCTGCTCCCCCCAGGCCGCGCCCGGTAGAATGACAAAGGGGCATGGGATGAGGGGCAACGGACTCTCGAGTGCGCTGCACCCGAACTTGTAGTCCAACTGTGCCGACCACCATCACCATCACCACCGCGCCATAATCCATAATGCCATGATCCCTGATGCCATAACGACATGACGAATCGAGCGTTGATGACGGCGAAGCGGGGGGATCTCAGCCGTTCGTTCGACATCCGCCTGAGCCATAGAAGCCCAGACAAGCCAAGGATTTCATTGAATCCCGTGTTCTTCCTTACCCACACCTTACAGACACTGACCCCAATACTTACTTATAAGCAGGTACGCCTTTCGGACTGGAACTGACTGGTCCGGAGGATGGCCAAGGGGGACCTAGGGGAGCTTCGGCCCCGATCCGCTTTTGAAGCCTAAAGACACGAGGAAAGCCCCGGGAGATGCCAGGATCGAGGGGGAAAGACGGGTTTCAAAAGACATTTCTCCGGAGGTCTGGGTCCTCCATGCCCCCCTCGCTACTTGCTCCGGCTACACGCAGGATTGACCCTCGGCAAGAGTGCCCTTGGGTGCGCTGCTCCAAGGGGCCCACGGGGAGACCAAATCCGAGCTCGCGAGCCAATGTCAGGGGTTCCGTGCTGGCCCGCGCCAAAAGTCACTCTGCCGAGGGGCCACTCGTACGCGTTAGCTGATGTCTGCCCCTAGCTCAGGAAGAGGCGGAGGAGGAGGAGGAGGACGACGACGACGAGGACGAGGAGGAGGAGGACGAAGAGGAGGAGGAGGAGGAGGAGGAGAAAGAGGAGGAGGACGAGGACGAGGACGAGGAACAGGACGAGGACGAGGAGGAGCAGGAGGCGGAGGACGAGGAGGAGGAGAAGGAGGAGGAGGAGGAGGAGGGGAGGAGGAGGAGGAGGAGGAAGAGGAGGAGGAGGAGGACAAGGACGAGGAGGAGGAGGAGGAGACGAGGTCCGAGGGTCACGCATTCAAAATGGCCTCCTCCCCCTCTCCTCCGCGTTGGTAGATGTCTGCCCTGCGCTGCTTGATGCGCTTCGCGCGCCGCCGGCCCGGGCACCGGGGCGACCAGCTCCTGGAGGTTGCGGTACGAC